CCCTTCTCGAGGCATGGGAGACAGAGAGGCATCCCAGCAGGAAGGAGCCCTTGTACAAAGCCGTGGATGTGCCAAGTATAAGGTTTATTTAGGAAATGTCAAGGTAGTACCAGGTTTGAATAAAATATGAGGCTAGAGAGGTTTGTTGAGCACAGGTTGTGAAGGCACGCAATAGTGTTTGGACTTCATCTTATCAGTAAAGGGAAACTATATAGAAAGTGCAAAAACTTTACTTTCATTGGAGCTCAAGGATCTTCTAGAAACTTTTAAAGTTTGTCTAGAACATTCTTGCACTGACTATAATATTTATTTGTCACCCTTAATCAATTCTATATTTCTGCTGAACTCTTCTAGGCTTCCCAAATCTGGGTGTGCTCCCCAAATCTGGGTGTGCTGCCCACTCTGCTTCCGCCTCTGCTGATGCTGGCCCACACTGTGATGACTTCCTTTACAAACCCTCCTAGAGGTTACTTCGTAAGTCAATCCTCTTATCTCCTCTCCAATGCAATTCCAGCAAGAAGTATTGGTGGCTGAGTACAAAATTGTGACTGCCCCCCCTAAATAGTTACCATGACATTTGATTTTTACTGCCCTTCTTCCTACATAATAGTAAGAATTGCAGGAATAAGGCCCGTAAGCATCTGAGATTTAGGAGACAGGATAGGTCAGATTTGAAAATTTACAGGTTTAGACACTGCTGAATTGTGTCTCCCAAAAAGATATGTTGAAGTCCTTACTCCCCTTACCTCAGAACGTGAGCTTATTTGGTAACAGGGTCATTGTAGACGCGATTTGTTAAGACGTGGTCATGCTGGAGTAAAATGGAGTTCTTAATCTAAAATGACGGGTGCCTCTCTGGTGACAGAGGGAATGCCATTTGATAACAGGCAGATAACGGGAGTCATGCAGTGCAAGCTAAGGAACACCAAGGATTGTTGGCCACCACTAGACACTAGGAAGAGGCAAGAAAGGATCCTCCCACAGTCACAGAGGGAGTATGGCCCCGCCACCACCTTGATTTTAGCTTTCTAGCCTCCACAACTGAGAGAGAATAAACTTCCATGGTTTACGCCACCCAGCTTGTGGCACTGTTATGGCAGCCCAAAGAGACTAAGACAGACACATATTCCAAAAGAGTCTTTCCGTCCTGTCTTCCTGTCCATGAGCAATGCTCTCGCCTATATTAGGGGTGGACCGTATCCCCTGGTCATGAAGTCCTGGTGAGTTCTTCCAAGGAGCATTCTGGAGTATCTGTAAGCACGTTGCTAAGTTTCCCATGGGTGCTCAACAGTGCCTGGCTTAGACCAGATTATAAGTTATGGTCAAAGTGTCCTTAGAACAACAATGAGAGGAATTCAAAATATGGAAAGTATTCATCACATTCCTCCTTCCTAAAATTTTCCATGTTCAGTCCTCTTCCTTCCAGTCCTCTTCCAACTGTGCACATACACATGTCCTCAGTTCACATTTCTCCTCAGTCCCTTTCTCCATGTAATGTTGTTGTTACATCATCTTATAATGTCTCCTAATATTCCATCCAGTCATTACACCACAATCATTTCACCATTTCACTCTTGTCAGTCATTGATTTGAATGGTTTATTTCTTTTTTACCCGTTTAGATAACGTCGTAAAGAACAATTTTGTGTGTACATATTTTTTATCCTTTTGGATTATCTCTTTCTGATAAATTTCTAGGGTAGATTTGCTTTGGCTCAAAGGATACAATAGCATTAAGAATTTTGTTATACATACATATATATTTTTTTCTAAGAATCCAGCTGTTTTCTTTTTATCTTTTTGAAATAAATTTTATTATGTGTATTTAAGGTATACAACATGATGTGTTATTTGATATATATAGATAATAAAAAAAGTCACTATGGTGAAGAAATGAACATGTCTATCATCTTACATTCTCATATCTACCCATTGTTTTGTTTTGCTTTTGTAGCAAGAGCAGCTAAGATCTACTCATTTAGCATGAATCCCATTTACAGTGCAATTTTATTACCTGTAATACTCATGGTGTACATTAGATCTCTAGACTTGTTCATCCTCCATATCTTATTATACTATTTTTTTTTTCCTTTTTTGTCTTTTTTACTGACCGGTAACGGGATCGCAACCCTCGGTGTTGCGCCTGCACCACGCTCAGCCAGTGAGCGGGAACCGGTCTCCACATGGGACCCGACCCCTAGGCGGGAGCGCCGCCGCACTCCCAAGCGGCGCACTCTCCAGTGCGCCACTGGGCCGGCCCTATTATACTATTTTCTAAAGAACAAAACCAAAATACATTCCCATCAAAAAGTAAGTATCAAATGGTGCTTCATTACACTTTACATTTTTATTTCCTGAGGTTGAAAATGTATTTATTTCTCCTGTAGGGTTGTCCCTGTGTTAACTGATATTTACCCATCACTCTATTGGGTCCTAATTATACTGGTTGTTTATATATCATAGATATTAAATCTTCTGTGACATGTTTTTAGAAATAGCTTTTCTTTTTCCTTTAGTGGCATTTGTTTTTATTGAAGAGAGTTACATTTTATTGAAGAGAAGTTGCTACAGAGTTGAATTTTTTGTTCCTTTGAAAGTTATATTATTTTTGTTATTTACCAAATAAACATTTCTCCAAAATTATAATGAAATATTCTGTTTTAATTCTGTTATTTGACCCATTTTAATAGTTTACTTTTTAATCTATTTGAAGTTTATTTTTTCCTATCATATAAGGTGTAATGTAAATTAATTTTTCTCTAAATTGTGATCAGTTACATAAAACAACCCATTAAATAAATGCTAATTATACCAATTAGTTTTGATGCTTACTTGATCATATATTAAATTACCCTAAGCATATTTTTCCTATAATAAAAATTCATATTCTTTACTCTTTGAATATTAATTTTTTTTATTATTGTTGCTTTGTGATGTGGTTTAACTCCATAGGTCTGTTTGTTCTATCATTATTTATTTTTCCAGCACTTTCTTTTTTTGTGTTCTTATGTATTTATTTTTCCCATGAGCTTTAGGTTAATCTGCCAGATTCTAAAATGAGACCATTTGATACCTGGGTTAGGGTCCATTTGAGATATACATTCATTATTGGGTGGGTCAGGGTAGACTGGCCTGGAGTAACTTCTTCTAAGTGATGTAGCTGGGTGGAAAGAGCCGGGCTATCCAAATGGATCATCTCTGGGTATGAGTCCCATCCTCCCACCTGCCATTTGCCCCAGTTATTTAACCTCCCAGAGCTTTACTCCCCTCTTAACCACAGAGGGATGATAGGGCCCACTTAGGAGAGGTGTCATTCTAATTAAATGAGGGAAGGGATGTGAAACACTTGGTGTAATGCCTGCCACAATATAGGCACTTAATTTTCATTTCCTTTTTATTTTCTCCCGATCACAATTTGTTAGCTTCACTGGACTTTCTTAAGTCCGTTCCAAATTTTTATGTATTATAAGTGGATTCCTTTGTCTCTCTATACTTTCATAGCTGTTTCTTGCTGACACTCAAAGATGCTATAGAATATTGTCCTTTTATCTTGTTCCTTCCTCCTTTGGGAAGCTCTTGTAGCACTGTGAATGGCTCTTTTCAGATTCTTGCGGATCTTTTAGGTAGACACAGTGCTGCCTTTGGCTCAAGGCTTCTGAAAGACATGGCTGAGTTCCTAAAGAGATGCTAGAGGTGCTAGAGTGTTTTAGTTCCTTAAGCCATGTTGAGGGTTGCCTTTATCAAAAGTCAGGAGCTACTCTTGGTTTACTTCCTTGAGGACCTCATTCTTGGGTCTCCACTCTCTGATCCTCTCACCAAAAGAGCTAGGTTCTCCCATAGGTGGATCCCCCTACCCCTACCCTGCCCTCAGCCAGAGCTCAAGCAGCCTGTGGTATTTTTACATTGGGAGTCTCCTCTTGGTGTCCTGTGGGCTTTTCACCATTGCAAATGCACATGGCCCAAGCAGATAGCCCACTCTGTAGCAAAACTACACCAGGGATGGCAGGTGGATCAGGCAACTGGACCTGAGTTCTCATCTTGGCTCTGCCACTGCCTGGCTGTCGCTCATTCATTTATTTACATTTCTCTTTCTCTTCCAAAAAGGATTTAAAGTTGCTTTAAAACTATGGGGGAAATGCAGAAATTATAAGGTGGGGAGAAAGAAAATAGAGAAGTAGAGTCTGGAGAGAAAATGGAGTTGGGAATAGCAGAAACGTAAACACAAACCCCCGTGCACTTGTATTTGACCAGATTTGACCTTGAGCTTCCTAGCAGTCAGAAGCCATGAAGAAATGCTTTGGGCAAATTACTTTACATCGAAATCTCAGTTTCGTCACTGATAAAATGGAAATAAAAACCACATCATTGGATTGTTCTAAGGATGAAATGAAATAAGGGATGTGAAACCCTTTAAGTATAAACATATAACACATAGTAGGGTCTCCACAAATGCTAGTTTTTATTGTTACTGTTACTTGTTCTATGGTGTCTCCCTTGAAGTTAGAAATCAACACTGCAGCTGGTGCATAAATTGACTCAGCTCCGGAGATCTTATCCCTCTTTCAACGTAGTTCAGGCTGAGAAATGATGATCTGTAGCTAACTACACAACTGATATAAATGATACACATGTGAGGAGTGGGGAATTAATCTGCTTGCAGCAGGTCTGATGCAGGTAAGGATAAAGATGTCCCTTTATGTCAGATCCATTCCCAGGAAGAATTGGACTCGATAGAATAAAATGCAGGAGCTTAAAGGGACCTTCAGCTGTTCTTCCAACACCCTCTCTTTTGAAAGTGAGAAGGACAGCTGAGTTTTCCAGCATTACACAGCTAGGGTTTGATGTTCAAATTCCACTTATTTCCCTTAAAGGACCCATTCATGGTAGGAGACTAACGTGGAGTAGAAGTAAAGAAAAAAAAACACGCTGATGTATTTATAGTTTAGGGAAATGAAAGTCAGTATGAGTTCAGACCGTTCATTGTTTCATTGTTACTTTCAGCTGCTGTTGGAATTGTTCATCCGTCTTCCCTCTGCTGGCCCTGGCAAGTCAGGCCTCCAAGCCAAAGAGCTCTTTTTAAGAGTTCAGATCCTCTGGAAGCAGCAGACTTATGTGATTTCTTTCTGGTGTGGAGGAATTCAGGTATTTAAAGAGCCTGTTTTCCTAAATGCTTTTATGCTTCAACAGAGAGTCTCACTCAAGCACATCTTTGGGCTATTTAAAACTTACAGTGCAGTGCCTTCTGAGTGTGCACATGTGTCCTGGAATCTCAGTGGAACACTGGTTTATTTTGAGTGGCAGTATTTGACACTCTGAATCATGGGCCAAGTTCATGACGGGCCCCTCTCTGCCTGTTCCTAGCAACTGGAAGCCCACATGTGTGGGGGTGAGGAGCGGTCAAAATGGTTCAGATAAAATGATGCAGAAAGAGAATTCAGCTCTGAACAAGTGGCTAAATCCCCTTATTCAGGACACTTTGTGCCAAATGCGTGGCTGGCACTTCCATGTGCACCCTCATCTGACCCTCCAGTCAACCTGGGAGGTGTGTGATATTACCAGCCTCCCCTTATTCACGAGGTCACTCAGAAAAGTAGGCTGATGTGCTCAAGGTCATGATCATAAGTCCACCCAGGTTCCAGACTCCAAGTCCAGCACTGTTTCTTCGATTCCATTACCATCTACTCTTGGTGGAAGGAAAAGTAAAGGAAACAAACTCAAACCCAGAAGTAAATCAGTGATTTCCAAACAAGCTTCATTTCCTTCAGTCCCAGGTGTGGCCATTTGACGACTACTTTGGTGTCACCTACAGTAGTAAACCGTGTGCCAGGGAGATGAGTGTTGATACCCTTTGGTCCAGTGGCAACGGAACTTGATGATTTAAAATTATTTTTGAGGTCCAGCCCAGTGGAGTTCGTTTATCTGGCGAGATGTACTTCCTCTCTTCCCTTTCCTATTTCCTCTTCTGAATTGGTCACTTGGGATGCCCGTCTCCAGGCGCATCTGCGTGCACTTGAGATCTGAAACCCAAGCTGGTGCCACCACCAGCTGCAGAAGCACGCTGCTCACTGTCATTTTTGGAAACCAAAAATGACTGGGCACATAACGGTGATTAGATAAAGCTTGTAATTTGTGTTTGCTGTAGTCAGCGACGTGGTATTTTGGGACAAACAGCCGCTCTATGCTACATATAGCTTGGAATTTGCGGCTTTTGTGTAACCCGCCATTGTACGGTCAAGGAGGTAAAGCAGCAGTAGGGCAGACAGAAGGATGAAGGGAGAGAGGACAGGAAGCCCCCCTCAGCTGACAGGCAGAGAACCAGGGATGCTTTAGAGATCAAAGAGCCCACAGAAAATCTGTAGTTGACTTGTCCATAAGAGGGACCCAGTTCACCATCAGGCACTGGCTCCCCAATCGCACCACCCTGCTTTACTGACAGCTGGAGCCACTTGACTCCGAGGGAGAGGCTCAGCCCTATCCCAGGCTCAAGGAGGAATCCCAGTCTGAGCCAGAGCATGCTTTAAGGCCTGAGTTTAGTTCTTCAGTGACTCAGCTTTTTCATCTGGCTATTGGTATTCTCTGATCAGATGCTCAGCCTCCTTCTCTGCCCCAATTCTGGGAACAATGTCCTCACCTTTCCTCTGAGCTTGAGTCTCAGCTGGATAAAACCTTTTTTTTTGTTGTTGTTGTTCACTAAACATTGACTGAGGGCCTCACATACTAGATCAGGATGGGCATTAGGGATATAGAATAAGTCAGCCCGAATTCTGGCCCTCAAGTCACTTACTTGATGGAGTAGGAGGAGAGCCAAGAATCGTAGGAATCTGCCAATCTTGCTCTAAACAGACCCCATTGTGACAAGCAAACTGGGAGCCACCATCCCATCAAAATAACCCCATTGGAGTGGGAGAGAAACAACTCCCCAGGACAGCACGGTGCTGCTATAAGGATTTACAGGGGTGGGGGAAGGGGTACTGAGCCCAGAAAACAAGAGATTTCTGAGATTCTCTAATCAATACCTCCAGCCAACAGCTTAAAATTAAAAGCTCAAATCCCAAAAGCTCATTAACCTTTTAAGGTAATGTGATAATGAATATGAGATGAATATTCACAGCAGCACGAGTTACCAATATTGCATGAATAATTGTCTGGCACACAGAGACCAATTTGCGTACCAGTGAGAATTTTCAAGGACTAGAACTACTCCCCAATGTGAAAAGAAGCATTGTTTTAAACAAGAAATGTTACTTAGGACATCATCTTTGACTCTAGAAAATGATTCCTTTTCTTCCACCGGCCAGGGCACAGTAGATGCGTAGTAACAGCACTCTGTCTCCTGGAGATGTGGGCTGGGAGCTCTGTTGGGAACATGCTTTTTTGTTGGTTCTGAGGCCAACAACTGGCTCCTTCAGGTGGAGATGCTGCTTTTGCCACCATTTATGTTTCCTCCTGGGCATTAAAATTCATGCCTTGAAAGCATTTCACAGGCACCACTTCTGACTCTAGTTCCATTCTCTCTACTGTTGATCCTGCCATCTGCTCCAGAGGTTCACAATAGGGACTAGAAGAAAGGGCTTTCTGCATCAGCATCCCCCCCCCACCATTTGTGTTACCAGATCTTAGAATCCTTCATACGTTACATTAGAAAGTCTTCTAGAGGTCTCCATGTCTAATATTTTGTGAAGTGTGTTCAGGGGAACTTAAATTCTACAGGATGCTGATATGATTGTATGAGAAAAGGGGGCAAGAGCATGACAGGGACCCCTAAATTTGAATAAGTTTGAGGAATGCTGACTTTAAAGAAAGTTAGATAGGAGTATTCACTGCAAGACTTCTCGGACCATCGAATTCTAATATCCATGGTATATCTCCAAGAGGGGCATATAGTTGCAGTGATTATAAAAGTTATTTGATGATGAAATTTTTATTCTGAGGTTAAGACAGACCTCAAAGAGATTTATAATAAGCCAATATTAAGCCAATAGATCATGATCAAGTATCTTCTAATGCTCCAGTTGATTGCTTGAGCCCCCATATAATCCGTTAGCAGAGAGTCTTATTGGAATTATCCAGAAGCGCCGTGTCTACCTACACCAGTACTGCACTGTATTTCCCTGCCACCAAGTTGCTCCAGAGAACACCAGACTGTCTACCGATTCTGGCATGCCATTGTTGGCCCCAGACCCTGTCCCCTTCAAGTTGACCTCTACTTTTACTGCTCTTTTCTGGTGACCTACTCAGGATCAGTGATTGTTCGCCAAAGCAGAACAGCTGTGCCTGGGGCTCTGGGTCCAGGGGACCTTCTTGCAGTGAGAGCACACCAAGACAATACCACACTTCCCATAGACACCGAGGCCCTCCTGCTGAGGCTCTGTGCTCATGACAGGGACTTCCTATTACCATAAGATGATTTTATTTCAGGAACAAATTGTTCTACTTTGCCACAGGACCTTGGCTGAGGTCATCGTGCCACTCAAATAGGTCTCCCTTGTCTCAAATCTGGGTTCTTTATGCAAATTCATCCATCTTCTTCCAGAGACTATTGGGCATGTGTATCTCAGGGAATGACATTCTTGATTGAGATTTAAAAAGCACAGTAAATTCTCCTGTATTCTCCATCTCTGTGTAATTTGTGTACTAAAGATATCTTTCCCTGAACAAAAAAGTTATATCCTAAAATAATCACTCATCTCTAACTCCTAATAGGAAAGAGAAATGTTGACATAATTGGGTACCCCCATTTAACTCTGCCTTAATAGCTATCCTGTTTGTTACACGGGTGTTACAGCTTTAATGCCCTCCCCCCCCAACTCACATTGAAGCTTAATCCTCATTGTAACATTGTAACAGTGTTAAGGAGGTATGAAATATGACTATAGTATATAAAAGGTGGGGCCTTTGGGATGTGGTTGGATCATGATAACTCTGCCCTCATGTGTGAATTAATCCACTCATGGATTAATGAGTTAACAGATTAATGTGTTACCATGGGAGTGGCACTAGTGGCTTTATAAGGAGAGCAAGTGTTAACATGCTCTCAGCCCTCTCACCATGTGATACTCTGCAACAACCCGGTACTCTGCAGAGAGTCCCCACCAAGAAGAAGGCCCTCACCAGATGTGCTGCTCAACCTCGGACTTCCCAGCCTCCAAAATGGAAAGAAATAAATTATTACTTTATAAATTACCCAGTTTCTGGTTTTCTATTTCAGTGATAGAAAATGGACTAATATAACCAGTTTTGGGGACACTGACTATAGTTCAACCCTGTCAATTTACAGTGGGGAAACTTGTCTAAAGACATAGAGCTAGGGCCGGCCCGGTTGCGCACTTGGTAGAGTGCAGCTTGGGAGCGCGGCGGCACTCCCACCGAGGGTTCGGATCCCATATAGAGACGGGTCCGCTCACTGGTTGAGCGCGGTGCAGGCGCGACACCGAGGGTTGCGATCCCGTTGCCGGTCGCGGTATGGGCGCGACACCGAGGGTTGCGATCCTGTTACTGGTCACGAAAAAAGACAAAAAGGAAAAAAAAAAAAAAGACATAGGGCTAGAAGGGGGCAGATCCAGTGCGGGATCAGGTTAGCCTGACTCCTAATACAAAACTCCTTCCACTGTTCCCTCAATTTAAGACATCCAGATTATTGCCACAGGTCATAAATCGGAATTGTCATGTTCAATCAATTGATATTTTATTTGACTGGCATTTTCTTTGAAGCACACAAATATATTTCAGATATAGACTCTGCTCTTAAAGCCCTTAAAACTCCAAAAGTACAAAGGAATGGAAACCATCATGTTGAAGGGATACTTGTATCCCATATTTATTGCAGTCCTATTTACAATAGCCAAGAGTTGAAACCAGCCTAAATGCCCATCATCAGATAAGTGGATAAGGAAAATGTGGTATATTTACACAATGGAATACTACTCTGCCATAAAAAAGAATGAAATTCTTCCACTTGTAGCAACATGGATGAACTTAGAGAAAATTATGTTAAGTGAAATAAGCCAGGCACAGAAAGAGAAATACCACATGTCTTCACTCATAAGTGAGTGCTAAAAATAAATACATAATAAACAAACAAACAAATAAATAAATGAAAAAAGAAAGAAAAAACAACAATCACAATAATTTGTTGAACTTTC